CCTACATATATGATAGTGAGGGATTATCATATACGTAAAGAGCGCGTCCATGATATATGGAACAATTGTGAACGGGTGCAACAGAGTAAAAAATATGAATTGGCAGAGATTCTTAGTACAGACAAAAAAGCAAAACTTTGTACTTCTGATTCATCTTCAGTGTATGAGTCATCTCGTTCGAGCCAATCACAGGATAAGCAGAAAAAGAAAACATCAGGGTCAAAGTCTATTCGTATTTCTGACGATTCATTGGAAATAGTAGGTGAAGACTTAGAAGCAAAAAAAGATACAATAGATATATCACCTGATTCCTTTAGCAAATCGTCTCCTAGCCAATCACTTATTATTTCGCAAGATTCTGAAGATGTTTCGGAGATGTTTAAAAAAGTAAATATTGAAATAAAAAAGGTTAGGACAAAGGGTCGCACTATTACATCTAAATTGGCAACTAGGACTTAGCCTCATGACTATACAAATCATTATAGTACCCTATAATTTCCAAATTCGATTGAATACCGGTAAATAACATTTTTTCAAGCTCTTCATAACTCACTTTTTTTTTAATATCTCATCCTCACTTAAGTCCCGTGGATCCTGAGAAATGCAATCCGGAGCTGGTAGATCATCACATTTGGGAGTAACATTCGTGCAATTCACCTCAAGCTTATTCTTGACCTTATGCATAGTGACTGGAATAATATAGTCTTTCCCATTAAGAGGGATCTTTAGCTCATTGGTTTTCCAATCTAATGCGCAATTGTATTTCTTTAAAAGTTGGTTGGAAAATATTAGCGTCGGCTTGTGGTATTTCACTACGATAAAATCTTCATAAATAGTACAACCTGGGGCTAGAGTAATAGGCAAATTGCGGACAACTCCAACAGATTCAACAGGGACAGTAGCAATACCACTGAGATCATGTGTTTCAGATTTATCAATTTTAGCTCTCACTCATTCAACAATATTTTCTGTTATAATGGGAGGTTCAGTTCCAGAGTCAACTGTCATAGCTGGAATCTTTAAACGTTTGATTTTACACTTTACCGTTGCAACACTTGTTTTTGGTTCCCTTCTTTGGACGAAATCTATTTCCATGAGATCATCTAAATATTCTTCCTCCTCTACACTAGACTCGCCCAGGTCTTTAGAACTTGAAGAGCCATTGTTTTGTACCTCCACTATAGCTGAAATAGAAGGCGCTTGTTTTACTGAATCGACTTTATTTGAACCAGTCTCCTGTGGGGTAGTTTTGCGAGCTGGCTCGACCCTAGTAAGAGGAAGGGAAAAATTAATTTAAGTTCACTTTAAATAATCTTGCGGATTGTATCCTCTAAAGTGCTTTGTTTACTTTGCTTGCTTTGTTTAGCCTTATTAGAGTTAACTACAGACTTCTCAATATTTGTCTTCTCGGCTTGTTTATCAGATTTATGTGACTTGGATTTTTTCTTAGATTGCTTCTCTGAGGGTAATTTCTTAGGGCTAGACTTCTGCTTCACTTTTTTTTTGATTTAGTAATATTAACAGTGATATCACCCTCAGAATCGGAAGAACTTGTGCCAGAATCAGAACCATCACTAGACGATGTATCACTGGATAAGATGTTAGAATCTGAATCAGAACCCGAATTTATAGTAGCGAGATTAACTTTAGCATTCTTAGACCTCTTTTTCTTCTTCCGAGTGCATTTGCGAGAATTATATCCAGTCCGGTTACAGTTAGAACACCGCTGTTGTGTCTTTACGGCTTTTTTAATTGCTTTAGCCACGTGTAAACTTAACTGCTTTTTCGTGAGTCCAGCAAGCTCTTCATCAGAATCAACTTCAACCTTTTTCTTTGGTTTCGGTGGCAACTCAGGATTGGGAACAGGGGTGAACTCTGGAGTTTCTCCTGTAATCCATGATATAAATCTACCTATATTCTCATCTCGTAAATTTTTATACGTTCCTGCAGGATGTGGTTGGAATTGTGATGAAGCCACTTGCTGGGGTTGCTGAGGTTCTGAAGATGCTATTGTATTTTTTATCAAGCTCTCGATTTCCGTTTT